CTTTGTTAAGTCAAAACAATAGTGACTCAGCCTAGCGCCGGGGCAGGCAGAGACGCTCCGTTGCAGGTACTTAAGCGCCGCGAGGAAAGCTTGTCAGCCAGTCGAAGCGCAGAGTTCAGAGTGGAAGGTTGGTCAAAATGTTTCCCGATTACGAGTACTTCTTTAACCAGTACAAGGGCATGTGCCCTTTCACTTGCCTGCCCTTGGAAGTTTTCCAACCGGATATTTTGGCCGTGCCCGCCTATGTGGAAGGTAATGTATTTTTTATACTTTATCACTGACTTTTTTATGTTGCTTTATGTTTTTCATTCTATTAATAACTAGCTGACCCGGCGAACTTTGTTCCGCCTTAATGGCAATAAATAAGCAGACTTTTTTTTAATTTCGAACGGGATAAAAAGTATCCTATGTCCTTCTCCTGGCTCTAAACTACCTCCCGGACAATTTTCAGCTAAATCGGTTCAGCCGTTTTTGAGTTATAAGCGAAGTAACTAACACGACTTTCTTTTATATATATAGATTTTATGTTTTGTTCACAGATTATGAAGTGATAACATCGGAATATGACACGTCGATCGAGACCTACCCTGTCAGTCCCGTTGCCTCACCTATCAACGGTAAATATCACATACTTTTATATTATATTATTTATTATTATTTTTTTAAAGTACCAAAAATTTATTCATGATTATATTAACTTAAAATGACTTTATATTATTAATTTTATGATGCGCAAGAGGTTAAACTAGTGCGAACCTTGGCAAGTTGCGTATAGTGACTACTACTTATCTAATGTGGTTGTTTTATTTCATTTTTAGAGCCGCCGTATCATTGGACTCAAGCAGTTGCCACGAGACTCGTGCCTGTGGCATCTGACTTCAAATTCACTTTCACGAAGACACTCAGTAAGTATTTTTCACATTGAAATCTTCGCCACTTTAATCTTATTAGAAGCTCTTTCGACCCGGAGGTCCTGTGTTCGATTGAATTCCCCACATAGTTAGTCACTGTTCTTTGTTTGTTTGTAGTACTTAGTTGAAAATTTTATTTTTATTGCATACTAGCTGACCCGGCGAACTTCGTACCGCCTTAGCGTAGAGATTTTCTTAATATTTTTTTCCGTAAGAACCATCCTTGGACTTCCACAAACATTTAAAAAAAAGAATTATCGAAATCGGTTCAGCCGTTCACACGTGATGCCGTGACAACGCGAAACGGGTTTCATTTTTATATATATAGACTCTAAACAAATTGAATTATTGTTACAGGTACTGACAGTGACGGTACAGACACTGATGGTACAGAAGCCGACGGTGACGACGAGCATTGCGGTCCAAACCCTCCAGCCCCGGTCAAACCGGCGCCCCTGCCTCCTCTTGGCTCTACGCCGAGGAGGCAATCCCGGAGGAGGCTAATAATTATTACAAAGGTCAGGCGAATTGACTTCGACGTGCCGGAGGAATAATTAGAACGTCCACGGCTGGACAAAGGTCTCCCCGAGGATGTCTCACGCCTGGCCTGCGGTGCCGTACCCAGGTGCTTACCATGACCTTCATCGGTCCATCGAGAGGAAGGGCCTAGTGGAAGGTCTTCTGGTCCGTAACGGAATATTTTGTAATTATTGAACTGAACAATTGTAATACTCGTACGTTTTACCATAATTTATGTGAACCTTAGTTAAGTTAATTTGAAGCGTATTAGAATGTGAATATTTGTAATTAGTTTGTAAGTTTGTTATGTTGTAAAGTTTTTAAGAGTTTTATGTTCAATGGTTTTTAAGAGTTATATGTTTAAAAGTAAAATAAAATTAAGTATTCATAATAATTAGCTGCACTCTTTTATTTTATCATAACTTTTAAATTATAAGTTAGTCTACACTAGAGTTGCCAGTAATAGGTATCTTAAAAAGCCCCTCGATGGATTTTGAACTTCACAATTCAAATGTCTTAATAGAAATAGATTAAAAAAAGAGCTAAGCACTGAGATTGTTACTGTGAAAAGCATACTAATTGCACTTAATACATAATAATATAAATAAATAAAGAGTACCTACCTAGCTCGTATCTATTGAGTAAATCAAAGGTAGGTATATTCTACATGCATTACTTTTGAATAGGCTATAAAATTTTAGCTTGAAAAGTAGGTAGGTACTTACCTATAACATTCTTTAAATATCAAACATAAAACAACAACAAAGTAAAAAATGTTGGTGTGTACCAGCCAATACCTACAATACGAATTATATTACAATATTATCACTAGCTATAGCAACCACTAGTATATACCTAAGCCCGAGACAAAGATTCAAAATTCTTAAAAACACCAGTAACCACTTTTACTTGTATTTTCGAGAGAGCGATAAGGCAGCTGCTAGCTGCTGTGCTATTGTTTGTTTGAAAAAGATTAGCAGCACTTGTTTTGTGCTTGCAGTCTTTTAGACATTATAGGTGTAATCTTTTAAAAGCGAACATAAACAATAAATATTGTGACCCATTTCCCACACACAGATTAGCGATAACGAAGGTTCTATAGGTTTATGAAGGATTCCGTAAGCTTGGGGGTAACAAAGGTTTATTGCTTAACGCTCATTTCTGCAAACAACTGAGTGATAAGAAAGGTTATTTTTAAGACCAATTCTTTTTTCATATGCTCAACTAAAGCGATTACATATTATTGTCGACTTAAAATCCTTAAAACTCAATAATAGACCTTATTTTAGTAAACATTAGCTCTAAATTTGACCAGTAGCTCAAGTTGAGTGTTATTTTGAAGAATAAGTTAGTGTAGAAGTGCCAGAGTGCCACTTCAAAATGTACCGTTCACCAAACAAGGCCAACCCAAAGGCGAATCAAGCACTATAACTACTCGAAGACGTATGGATGATGACGACTTCTCGAAAGTTTTCAATACTTTTACCACAGAGATACGTAGTACTTTAAATGACTGGAAGAGGGAAATTCCAAAAGAAAAAGCACCAAAAGATCTTAACAATAAACGAAACACATTTGTGAAGGAAAGTGAAATCTTTCGGGCTTTTATTACTTGTGTATAAAATGATTATTACCAAACACAAACAGAAGGATTACCTACTAGGTAAGACTTAAACATAATATGTAGTATGCAAACAATAGAATAATAAAGTCCAATGGAAACAGAAGATGCTTGAATATAAAAAAAATACCACAAAACAATAATAAAATACTTAAAGTGAAAACTTATGACAGGAATTATTGGTCAACCAACTACGACGAGACACCCATTGAAGGAATACAACTTTGTTTCAAGTTTGAAATATTTCTTTATTTTATTGGGGGGCACTAGTTAGCGCGGGATTGATATAACTCAAAGGTGACTGACTGCCTGACTGACAGCCTGACTGACTGACTGACTGACATAGTGATCTATCTATCAACGCACAGCCCAAACCACTGAACGGATCGGGCTGAAATTCGGGATGCAGGTAGATGTCATGACGTAGGCATCCGCTAAGAAAGGATTTTACGAAACTCCACGGGTAATACGGTATCCACGCGTACGAAGTCGCGGGCGGCCGCTAGTAAAATATTATGCTGTTTAAGCTAAAAGTGGCCTCATAAATTACGTGCATCATTTGGTCAATTAACTCCAAACAAATGCCACCGTACTGTTAGAAAATAATTTTAACAAAATATTAAAACCGACTCCTAAAAACACATCACTAAAAAGTAGAAAAATATTTTATATTACGACAAAATATACCATGATTGATATTTTTGGAGGAGTTTTTAACTTCACAACCTGAAGAATTGATGGGAATTTTTTTCCTACTATGTTCTAATTGAAAGGGTTTAATGAAATAAAAGAGTACAGATTTTATGAATACATAATATAATATTATCCTTAAACACACAACATTAAAAAAAATACAACAAAACAAACTTACAAACTAACTAAC